TTTTTTTTTTTTTTTTTCATCAGACTGGAGCACAGCCTAGGCTGTGGGACTAAGAATTGAAGTTCAGATTTGATACCCTCTCGACTGTAGAAAACATGTTTTTCAGGCAGATGATGAGTTTCACAGGGGAAACAAATGCATCCTTTGGCACAGACGGGCCCTTCTTTCTGATCATCAGACATGTGCATTGTTTCCTTGCACCTTCTTGGGACCTTTCTTTTAGCTAACGTGAGATATGTCTGAGCACCTTAAGGGGCTAGGCTGGTTCACCACTGAACAATTTACATGGAGGCAAAGGAAATTAAATGGCATGTGCTGCAGTAGGAACCAGACACTAGCTTGTTCCCTCGGTATTTGGTCCTGACTGAGAAACTCCCTTCTTTTGATGGGAGCTGCCAGGGACTTCCAAGGGAGCCATTAATGAAATAAAAATAAGGCAGTCTCTAAGGATATGGATTTGGTTTAAAGGACTTTCAAAGCGCGTATGGGAGACCCAAAGAAAATAAGCACATTTAAGGCACAAGCAGCCAGACTGAGTTCAGAATCTGCACTAGATTCACCCATGTTCCATCCTGGAGGGATGGTGACAGAGACCCTCAAATTAGACACATGCCTGCCCCTTCCCTTTGGGAACCCCAGGTGGTCCAAAATCAGTCTCAGGGACATGAGGAAACAGGTGGTGGCTTTAGAAAGCAGTATGGTGAATTTCTCCTTGGATGTTTGAGAGAGGCTCAGAGAAGGACAATGATATTAAAGGAATTAAGCGGCACTTAGAATGGGCCAGCTCTTTTATGGTGGACTTCCAGTTCCTGCCCCCCAGTCCTGCCAGCCTGTGCAGAGCAGGTTGTTTAAGGTGCTGTGGTTATAACATACATAAGCCCCTCTTCTTTCATTTCTGGGCCTGACAGTACTCTTTTTGTGATTTGCTGGTTGCAAGGGGGTTTGAAATGTGTGTAATCATCAGTAAGTGGCAGAAAAGGCGATGGCTGGGAAACAGCGGGGCACATTGTTGTGGATATTAATTTTCATTTGAATATGGGCTCCCGTGAAATCTTGACTTCTGAGTAAGCTCCATTGATCATAAAGGATGATTGTGGAATATGAGTTGGGCTATTGGCATCGGAGAACAAACAGCCCAAAATTGTCTGTTCCTAAACCACAGAGAACTCATGAAAGGAAACAGGGTCTTGCTTCCAGGAAAATTAAGAATCTGGACCGTATTGGCCGTTTGCACAAGCATGGCTTAATTTTTTTTCTTTTTTTTCTTCTTCCTCTACCTCTCTCTATGTGAAAAACTGGGTGGTGAGGTGGGGCAGGAAATGGTTTCTTTCAGATCACTCTCCTTCCCTACAGTAAAAGGGAGTTCCCCACAGTTATGGTTGTTAAATGTTTTTAGGCCCCCAGTTCATCTACACTAACCACTCCTTTTTGCCAGTGCCACGTCCCTGACATAGGAGGGATGGAAATGCTTTGCTTCTGATGAGGTGCTAATGAGGGGATATCTAGTTGCAGTTAATTATGATTAATAAGTAAGAAGCCCCCAAATAGAAAGTTTGTGTGGAATTGCCAGTTTATAAATATCCATTCATTAAACAACTGTTGAGGGCTATCTGTATTTCAGACACAGGGTCAGTCTCCAGGGGTGCAAAGATGAGTCATGCATGAATTCTGCTGTCAGAAAGTGTATAGGCTACTAGGAAGTCATATCTGATTATGAGGCAATGAACTCGATATATGGTGGTGAGTGTTCAGGTCCTTAAAAGGGACCGATTCAGTGCAGGGGAAGTCCAGATTACTGCTAACATTTTGGGGGTGTAGAGAGGCGGAGGTGCTGGTCATGAATGGCCTCCCAAGGAGGTGGTATCTAGACGTGGCAAGATACAGGACACTGCAGTCAAGGAAACGGCATAGCAAGGTCATGGCAGTGGAGTGCTTCAGCACATTTTGGGGGAAAACGGGTACAGTGGAATTGCACTGAGCATTTGTTAAATCACATATATAATCTCAATAGCAAGAAGAGAAAGAAGAGTGCAGGCCGTTGTGCTCAATGACTGGTATGTCCTGGAGTGAGCATGTGAGTGAACCCGCTGTGGGTCCTGGTGTCTCCTATGTGGTAGGCGTGGTGCTGGAGATTCAACAGTGAGCAAATAGTCCATGCCCCCATGGGGCTCACGTTTAAAGGAGGAGGCAGGCAATAGTTACATAAATATCTGATTTCAACCTGTGTATCTTTAAAAGAGAAAGAATAATCTAGACTGGGAGTAAAAGGAAAAAACTTCCTTGAAGAAATACTGTATGTGGTCTGTGATTTAAGAATGAGTAGGTTTTACCTAGGTAAACATGGAAAAACATGAGCACAGACCTAAACAGCTCTATCATTATTATTATTTTTTAAAATATATCTTTATTGACTTCAGAGGGAGGAAGGGAGAGGGAGAGAGACAGAAACATCAATGAGAGTCATTGATCGGCTGCCTCCCGCACGCCCCCTGCTGGGGATCGAGCCCGCAACCCGGGCACGTGCCTGACTGGGAATCCAACCGGGATCTCCTGGACCCTAGGTCGATGCTCATCCCCTGAGCCAGGCCCCACCGAGCTAAAAAGCTCTATTATTTCACTCAATCAACCTCTCTCCCCCCTCCTCTCTCGCCTCCTCTCTCATTCCTTCCCTCTCCTGTCTTCCCTGCCTCCCTTCCTCGCTCTCAGTGGGGATGGATAGCTAAATGCACAGGAATCCAGCAGTGTCTTTAGATACTCACACCGCACAGGTTAGGAGTGTGATCTCTTGTCTGTTTTGTTCACTGCTCTAACCCCAGTGGCCATAAATAGGTACTCAATAAGTATTTGTTGAAAGAAGTAATTAATCAATTAGTTAATTAGGTGCACAAAGTGTAGGAGGGAGTTCCGGGGAGGCTGAGGTCATCTCAGAATGAAGAGGGACATTCTAACACAATGTTCAAGGCAGCCTGGTATAACAGAAATGTTTCTGGTCTTGTTAATTTTGACCACGGGCAAGCCACTTAACTCTCTGAGCCTTACCTTATTTATTAAATAAAGATCATCTTTATCCTGCCTAATTCAAAGGGTTATTGTGAGGGTGTAATAAAATAATCTAGGTAAAAATGTAGTAAAATAATAAAATAATCTAGACAAAAGTAGGTCTACACTTATGAGTACGTGAAACACAGTTTATTCTTCTGTTATTATTTATTAATTATTGCATTCTTTTCCATATAAACAACTGTAAACCTATGTTTGCCCACCCTGTGTTTTTATTATCAGCTGGAACGGTGAACTCATAGTCCAGCTGGTGCTGGGCATTTTCTGTAGCATCTTGTAGTGGAGATTCTTGTCTTAGGTGGGAGTTTGAACTAAATGACTGAAATTCTTTCCGATGTATATACACTATGGTTTTGACACATAAATTCATTACTTAACCATTTCTAGAAGATGTATTTTAAAGTTCTGAATACATAATAAAGCTGAGTTAAAATATGGAAGTATTAGATAAAAATGATGTAGCTCAAAATGCAAGAAATACTGAGAAAATTGTTTTGTTTAATGGTGGGCAAAGATCTTAAACTAAAATCTGTGTGCAACTCTCTAGGAAGGGGAAAAATTCAAATGTCTGATTTCCTCCAGAATTTGTGAACGCTCTGAATAGTCAGCTCTGCAGCCCTGTTTACCAAGCTGCAAGAAGGAAGGGGGTCCCTTAAACTAAAATGTCAGTGATTGGGGTTTTGAGGAATTTGAAATTACTAGGAAGCTCCCAGACACTTAGTGACTCCCTAGTGATTCGAAAACCTTGCTGGCTGCTGGCAGTAGTTTGCATGGAGACTGAATTTTATCTCAGCCCCTTTGAAAAAGTAAAGAAGCCACAAATCCAGTAGCTGTTCAAAACAACAAAGAAGGTGCCTTTGGCTTCTAACAGGAGTGTCTCTGAATTCCTCAAGGAATTCCAGGCCCAGGGTTGATCCAGCTGGCAGGAGGTATCGATCTCCACTTGAATTCACTGAATAAATAATGGTTGCCATAGTTATGGAGCAGTCACCACTGGTTGGAGAGCAGGGAAAACTCCGAGGCACCTTTTGTGAGTTTGGCCATGAGAAAGTCTGGTTACAAGGCTCCATAATCAACCCCCTCCCGAAATCCAGCCAAGAGCATTGCTCAGTTTCTTTATTCTGATAATGAATATGGGATCTTGAATATAATTCAAGGCATGAGGCACCGAGAGGAAGGGAAAGCTTAAATGAATGGATTGATATTTTATTCTGGGAGAAGCATCTCTCCCTGGGTTATGAACCTAATTTGACATATCTCAGTATTAATAGAATGTTCTATCAGCAAGATGATTGTGTGATCATGTTGCAGCTACTAGAGGGCTTCACAAAGGACCAAATCCCCATTTGTTCTATTTTAACATTGTTTATTATACAAAAAAAATCAGCCTGGAAATTTTAAAAGAAAAGAAAGTTGAGTTATCTGACAATCTCATCAATATTTTCACTTTTCTGTTCTTTCACCCTTCTCTATATGCAGAAATAATTTTTACATAGCTATAATCACGGCTTAGACACCACTTTATGTTCTGTCCTTTAATGTGACGTTATGTATTTTTTCCATATTACTTCATAGCCTTAGTATTTGTCCTTTCTGATGTCTAAAAAATCTTCCATTACGTGGACATACTATTTTTTACTTAACAGTTCCTCTGTTCTTCCACCCTTTATCTTTTCCCGGCTTTTAAAATAGATAATGCTATACAAAATGTCTTCATGAATACAGTTTTATTCTTCTGTTGAATCTCTCCTTCAGATAAATTCCCATGAGTGGGATTACTTGGTCAGAGGCAATAAATATTTTGTAGCTCTTGAAATATACTGTCAAATTTGCACTCTGTTTTTTTGGTTTTTTTTGGTTTGTTCTTTTGCTTTGGGGGGCAAATAAAACTTTTAGACATCACCATTCCAGGCTGGATTACTCTTAAAGTTCACTCTTGAGTGCACATATTGAGTAAAGGTAAACCATAGGGGACAGATCTGCAGCTGGGCTGATTAGCTAGTTCCCTGGGGAAAGCAAAATTATATACTGCAAAGCTTGGGAATCGGGGGACTTTATTGCTCTTTTTTTGACCCTGCCATTTGCCACGTGTCAGGTATTATCTTGGGTGTTGACTGTATTGTGCGTGTAAAACTCTTCAGTTGACAGGACACTTTCATGTAGCATCATCTTAGCTGAGCCTCACAATAACCTATGCAAGTGGGTTTTATCACAATCACACTTTCTCTTTTGATTTACTGTGTAATATTTAAGACACACAGAAAGAAAAGAAGAGAGCATCTACCATTCTGTAATCCCTATTTTTCCTAAGAGGACATTGAGCCTTAGAGAGATTAGGTCACACCGCCAGTAAGTGACAGAACCAAAACTGGAACTCGGCTCTGACTCCAAGTCCAGTGCCCTTTTCTCTGTATTACGTTGCATTGAGATGAGACATCCGCTTATTACAATCCATTGAGATGCTGTTGGCAATTTTCATGGTTGGACTTGAATGTAATTATAATACCTCAAAGTTGGAAGAGACCTTAGAGGTCATTAAATCCAACCTCCTCCTTTTAAGATGGGCTCTAGCGAGGGAAAAACTCACCGAGGACTTTTGTAAGACCTCAGTAGGATAAGGTGTGCAAAATAACAACCATCCTGTCATTCATTCAGTATGGCTATGTGCAGGAAACTGTGCTTCCTCTGCATAATTCACCTAAGTTGGTCTTCCCAGAAACCCTGAATTGCGTATGTTATTATCTTCATTTTATAAGGAAACCAGGGCTGAGAGGTTAAGGGACTTGCTCAAGGGCACACAGTGAGTGACAGACTGGGATTCAAACCCTGGTGCTGCTTGATACCAAAGGGCATGAAGTACCTCTAAGAGGGTGGGCACTTTGATTGTAAAATCCCATCCCAACTGGCAGAACGGAACCCAGGCCTCGACTGGGGAGTCAGGTTTCCTAAGATGTAACTGCCTCCTAAACTTGCCCTTTCCTATGCCTCTGCAGAACGACATGGGTTAAAAGAACCAAAGAGAGTGGAGGAGCTATGCAACAAGATCACAAGCAGCTTAAAAGACCACCAGAGTAAGGGACAGGCTCTGGAGCCCACCGAGCCCAAGGTCCTGAGTGCCCTGGTAGAACTGCGGAAGATCTGCACCCTGGGCCTCCAGCGCATCTTCTACCTGAAGCTGGAAGACTTGGTGTCTCCACCGTCCATCATCGACAGGCTCTTCCTGGACACCCTGCCTTTCTGAGTAGGAGCAGCCTGAGCGGGGAGCCGCCTCATCTGCTAGCACCAGCTTTCTAAGCTGCAGATGGGCCTGGACACCTACCATTCCTGTCCTTCCTTAAGAGAGAAAGCAGCTCCTGACAAAAAGAAAGACTTTCTTTTTCTGGCACTTTTCCTTACAACCTAAAGCCAGAAAACTTGCAGAGTATTGTGTTGGGGTTGTGTTTTATATTTAGGCTTTGGGCTTGGGGTGGGAGGGGGGTTATATAGTTCATGAGGATTTTCTAAGAAATTGCTAACAAAGCACTTTTGGACGATGCTATCCCAGCAGGGGAAAAAAGGATAATATAACTGTTTTAAAACTGTTTCTGGGGAATACAATTATAGTTGCTTTGTATTTAAAAACAAGAACAGCCAAGGGTTGTTTGCCAGGGTAGGACCTGTCTTGAGATGATTGCTTTAGAATATACTTCCTGTATCAAGGGTACGTATGTGGTGCAAACAAGGCAGAAATTCCCTCGTCTTAACTTCTTTCTTCCTTTATTTTAACAGATGGTGAAAGATGGACAATAACCTATAAATCAGACATAGCAAAATTATAATGGCTGTTCGCTTCCATATACAAGTGCAATTTTTAAAGTGCTGTCTTACTAAGTCTTGTTTCTTAACTCTCCTTTATTTTATACAGAAATAAAAAGGAGGCAGTCAAGTTAGCAAATGACAAGTGCTAATTTCCTAGCAGAGGCTTTGTCCACCTGCCCTACAGAACCCTTCTGAGGTATGGCCCATCCTAGATTCCAGGCCATTCTTAATGGATCCAGATCCCTCCCCTGACTGTCCAGATGTCCTGAAGGGAGCTCAGATTGTAAGAGGGATTGCATACAATTGTTTTGGTTGTGTTCTATCAACCCATCCACAGTTCCCTAAACTTCCTTCAGTTACAGCGACTGACTGACACAGTCATTCGGAAGCCCAGGACTGTTCAGTGACTCTCAAGTGTTTGATCCCTAGATGAGAACATGCACAAATGAGGAACTGGATCATACAGGGTAAACACCAGGGGTAACAAGGTTTTTTAATATGTATACTTTAATTTTTGTTACCAGTTAAAGAGACAATTTTGGAGAGCAAGCAAGTCTTATTTTTTAAAAAGTAGTATGAATGTGAGTACTAGAAAGGATTAGTGGGCTGCGTTTCAACATTCCGTGTTCGTACTCCCTTTTGTATGTTTACACTGTTAATGCCATATTACGATGAGATAATTTGTTGCATAGTGTCCTTATTTGTATAAACCTTTGTATGCACGTTATATTGTAATAGCTTTGCCTGTATTTATTGCAAGACCACCAGCTCCTGGAAGCTGAGTTACAGAGTACTTAAATGGGGTGTTCACAGTGACTTGGATACGCCAATTAGAAATTAAATAAGCAAATATATATAAATATAGCAGGTTACATATATATTTATAATGTGTCTTTTTATTAACCATTTGTACAATAAATGTTACTTCCCATGCGGTTATTTTATGGTTCATTTGCAGTGACTTTCAAGGCAGTACTGTTTAGCACTTTGATATTAAAATTTTGCTTATGTTTTGCTAAATTCAAATAATGTTTGAAGATTTTTAGGTCTAAAAGTCTTTATATTATATATTCTGTATCAAGTCAAAATATGTTTGGCCATTTTGCTAAGAAACAAACTGAATGTGAAACCAATGTCACAGTAGCTATTGTTAGCTCTGGATCATTTTTGCTTTAGTCTTTTTAAAGAAAAAATAACAAAACTATGCTGTTTATATTGTCATTAAATTATACAATCAAACAAATGCCAAATGAATTGCCTAATTGCTGCAAAGAGAAACCCAGATAGCAAACCATATATGTTTTGTTTTCCAAGAGTCATTCTGATATTTGATCATATATTATGTTTGTGTGAACTTTTATGAAAGATTATTTTTATATCAAGATGATAGCATCTGGAATGTTAGGATCTTGGAATGTTAGACTTGGAAGGGGCCTGACTTGTCAGCTAGTCCATCCCGACCCGAAAAGAGGAGAAACCTGGGCCCCAGCGAAGGGTAAAGAGATACCCAAAGTCAAACAGCTAGTACCAGAATCAAGACTAGGACCTAATTCTCCTTTTCATAGTTTTTTTACTCAACTTACTGCATCTATAGGAAAACAGGCTTTTAAAAATAACCAGTAATACTTACATTTTATCTAATGATAACCATGAATATAGTACTTTTGCATTAATTTTTCAGCTTATATGCAAACATGATAAACATTATTAAATACCAGGAAAGCTAACATTTAACATAAGGTAGCTTCAGACCAAATTCAAGTTGAATTTGAATAAATTAGAAGTACTGTGCATACATAACCCTTTTGTGTACCATTAGTATTGGAACAGTCCTTGTTTTTTTTTGTCATGTCTGAAAAAAACAACAAAAACACGAAACAGAGCCCCAGAGAAATGCTGTTCCTTTTTATTTTTACACCCATCAGATTTAAGGAAAAGACTTTTTAGCCATGATATCAATTGGTTGGAAGGAATGAAGAAGGTTTTTATAGTTCCAGACACTAGTGCTGAAAATAAAGATTACAGCCAGTGTTCTTTTGTCTTCCATAGTTATTACAACTATGAGCACCTCCCAAGTCACCTATCAATTCAACTCTTTTTTTGTCTTGATGTTGACACACATTTTTACAGAGTGGATGACCAAACTAGCTCAGAAGAGGACAGCAAGAATTAAAGCAGGTGATTCTTCCCTTGCGGGAAAGCTCTCTCAGTGTGAACATGCCTTCCGTGGGCAGAAATCAGGAATCCACCAGCTGTTAATGGAGAGTGCCTTGCTTTCATTTCAGACAGCAGAGTTTTCCAGAGTTTCTCTGCTCCTCAAACAGCATTGCTCTTTAGTATGTATTAACCTGTGGTTTGAAAGAAACGCTCTTGTACATTAACAATGTAAATTTAAATGATTAAATTAAATTACATTTTATCAATGGCTACTGGTGTGTTGAATGAGCATGCTTCATTTAACAGTATTTTCTTAATCATTTATATAATAGTATTTGCTCTGCACTCTTAAACACATCCCCAAATGGATTTTTTAAAAGGCTTACTAATGCTGAAAAATTAATAGGCACTCCAATTAGAAAAATATTAAACCTCACTGATTGGGAAGGACATTCTAAATTCAATAACCATTTATTGACTACTTCCTGCGGGCAAAGCACTGTTGGGTTCTTTGAGGAGATACAGACACACAGCGTATGAAACTAATTTTCTTTCAACTGTACATAACTTCAGTGGAGTTAACAATTTGTTGTCTAAGTGTATTATTTAGGATTCTGAAGGATTTGTTTATATACCAAGATGATGGGATATTGATTGTTTGTGAACCAGAATTTACAAGAATCCAAGTTAGAGTTCTCAAAGACTGATCAGTACTGTGCCTTTTTGCAGAAGCCCTTACTACCACATTACTAGACGCCCCTCTCTGTGGGCAACACAAATGCAACTTTTATTCAACTCTACCCCAAACATCATCTATCGAGTTTGTGCAAACACATTTTCCTGTGTGTGGATGGTTCAAAAAGAGAAATTCGGAGCTCTCATGCTTTACTCCATCGGTTTATGCATAAAGTAGTTTCTGTGACATCTAAGTGCCATGTGTGATCTAAAAGCCAAACCATTCTTCCTGCTTCTCAGCAGTTCCTTCATTTCCTCAGCAATAAAATAGGATTGGTAAGAAAAAATGAGAGAGATAATGAAGCATCATCTTGCATGTGAATTTAAATACAGGGGCTTGGCCAAAGAGAGAAAGAAAAAGAAAGGGACACTAGGAAACAAAAGTTTGGTTTGAATGGGCGAGGAGGCAGGAAGGTCAGGGCTAACTAAAGGGTACTTGCCTGTAGTTGAATTTTCGTAAGTTAAATACACAAAGATAATACAAGAAGCTAGATGTTGACTTTTTTTTTAAATTGTGGTAAAATACACATAACACCATCGTCACCATTTTTAAGTGTACAGTTCAGTGGTGTCCCAGACATTCACGTGTTCAACCAATCTTCAGAACGCTTCATCTTGCAGAACTGAGACACCTACAGGTGTTGTGCGAACATGTTTCATTTTAGAGTAAACCCGTAGGAGTGGGATCGCTGGGTAGGTTTCACCGTGTAAGAAGCTGCCAAGCCTTTTTACATAGAAATAGAATATTTAGCCAGGCACACGGCCACTCAGGATAAACATATTTCTCAGACTTCCGTGCAGCTAGGGGTGGCCTTGGCAGTCTGCTCTGGTCAATGGGATGTAAGTGACAGTGTCATCTGGGTACTGTGTCGTATACGCCACTCTCTCCTTCCAGATGGCATCTGACGGCAGCCTTTGAGAGACAACATTATTATTGTCTGGCCCCAGAAAGTGTCTCTGTGGGTGGAAATTTCCACTTGGAGGAGATTCAAGAGTAGTATCATGATAGGTGGTATTTTAAGACGGCTCGTGGGCAGGCCTGGTCTTGGAATATGTCTGATTTGTATTGTAACCCACGTCAGCTGAGCCGCTGCTCTTCAGGATCTAGAAGGGGTTGTTTTGAACTCCTTATTCTACCAATGGGGAGGCCCAAAGACGACCTCAAGATATCTTCAAATTCTGCCGATTTTTATACTAGCCTTGGCTTTAGGGTGCCGCTTCTGTTTGCTTAGCGCTGTTTATGAACTGTCTTGCTATACTTCTTTTCGGTGTCACCCCTATTTCTGGAAGTACAGCTTGGATCTTTTCCTTAATTTCCACCCCAAAATCATGTATAAGACTTTCCCAGCTTCTAGAAACTCATCTTAATCGATAGCTGGTGTCATTCAGCTCTTCTTGTCCATCCCTCTCTCCACCTTGTACCTGGAACGTGAACGCCACCTTAGACTACGGAGCTAAGGGTGCCTCCTGGGGATGGTAGAAAAATGAGCTGGAAGGAAGCCAGGTCTTTGAGAGTTTTGTGGAGAATGGCCACCCTTTCGGTCTTGGGTTGCTTATATTAAACTTTTCATGAGAAATAAATAAACTCCTTGTTTAAACGACTGTTATTTTGAGTTTTCCCATTATTCGAAGATGAACTATAACCCCAACTAGGACCCACAAAATGCAAGAAAAATAGCCCATCTGCAGCGTAGGTTTTTTTTAAAAAAAAGTGTCAGGCATATTATGGATAGTGACTTAGTGTGAATCAGTCATGTTTTGAGCCTACCAAAAAATCCCAAAGGCATCTTAGGTCACAATTATTTGTTCATTTATTAATTCCCCGATTCATTCAACTTTGAACCAGGTCCTGTGTTTCTGCTTCTTCATAACCTCATAGACCGGATGCAGCCTGCCCCCTCATGGTCATAATTCTTTCTATCTTGAGGTTTCTCTCTTATCACCTTCTAATTTCACTTTCATCACTAACCACTCTGTATTTTCCAATTCCTATTGCTGAGAGAGGAAATTTACTAGGTCTAGCTCAACTTTTCATGCCAGGCCGAATTAGGTCCCTGAACAATCTATGGATTCTTTGCCCTTGGTTCACCTCTGGTCGAATCAGCTGTGGTTGATGAAGAACAGGCATTGACCCTTCAGAAAATATTGTAGCTTGAATAGTTTCAGTCTGAAGGGGCTGTTATTAGAGTGGCACTGTGACTATCACGTCTAGTAGAGTGGGAAGCTTGACTTGGTTCATGGGACCAATTGTAGAGGACAGTTTTGGTAGAATCATTCCTTCTCAATCTCTTTAGTGCCTAGCACATGCCTAGTTCCTTGAAACCCTTAGAAAATGCTTGTTGAGTGAATTCAAGTTACATATTCATTGATGGGGGTGGAAGATGGAAAACATCAAATTCCCAAGAGACAGACTATGTCATGATTTCCAAAGTTGTTATCTATGTAGAGCCAAAGTGTCTAGTTTCATATTTTTCTGAACTTTAATGCAAAAAAAAAAAAAAGAAGACGACAGAGAAAGAGAGTGAAAATCAGCATAACCTCAAGGAAGGTTTGTTTTTTTCTTTCCTTTAGAAAGCAGCTGTCAGTTTAACTTATCCCAAAATACTGTCAGTGATGAGCATGACTGAAAATGCGTTTTATCTGTAATTAGAGAGATTACATTAAACACTATTATTTGCAGACACACATTGAATTAACCCTAATCTAGGCTAGCAAATAGTAGAGCCTGCCTATTTTTTGCCTCAAAATTTTTAGAAAATTGTGACAGTTGACACACGAGGGACAATGCTGACGAGATTTCTTTCCATCAAATGCCAGACAGTAATTGTAATTGCCTTTAAAAATGTTTTAAGCAGTTTCGTTAGTAAATCAGAAGTTGCCACAAATCATGCTGATAGTTTCTAAACATGGGGTTGTTGACTGTGCATTCCAATATGGGTTTAATGAATTGATTTTCTAAGGAATTTAACTTTGCATCTGTTTTCAGGTATAATTAATTCACTCTGATTAATGTGATTAGCATGGATATCAGTGGATTACACATGATCCCCTTTATTTATTCACTTATTTTTAATCTGCCACACTGTCTATTGGCAAATTATATAAGTGTTTTTGGGGAAACATCTTGCCAGTAGCTTTGATCACATTGGATTTCTACAAAGCAGAATCCTGGCAAGAATTCACTGATTATTCACAGACTGTGAAGCAATGTACTCTTGTCTGAGGGACCTATTAAGGTTTACACAGTCCCTGTCTTTAAAGAGTTTATAATCCAGAGGGGAAGATGAGACATACATTCTAATGAGAGTCACTTGTAAGAAAAAAATGACTGTCCTCAGATTCTTCTTTCTCTGAGTACCTCTTCTCTCCCCTGCTCTCCTTAAAGATGCTCTCCTTACCTAGGGTATGCCAATGGCCTGCTTCCCACTACCCTGGGCAGTCTTTTCATAGCTTCAGCCACCACTCGTGAATCTATATCTCTAACTCAGTTCTTATCCCTGAGCTCCCAACCTGGAGGCTCCAGATGCCTCCAGATAACTTCACCTGCATATGCCACAGGTACTTCCAATTGAACACACCAAACCCAAATCTGTGATCTTCATTCAAGTTGGCCCCTCCTGTCTTCCCAGTCTCTGTAAATAGCTCCTCCGTTCACCCAATCGTCCAAGCCAGCGATTTTTAACTGATGTACCGCAAGAATTTTTAAAACATGCAACACCTGACTGACTAGTCAGGGACACTGACTTCTTTCCCCTTAGGCTGTCAAATTAAAAAATGACAACAGCCAACACAACAATAGTCATCCAGTGTGAATGAATCAACATTATTCCCTTTTTTTGGTCACATTGGCAAAATATTTTTTGGTGTACCACAGAATTTTAGTAATTAGTTTATATGTGCCATGAGATGAAAAAGGCAGAAAATCACTGTCCAAGCTAAATTATTGTTGTGAGTCTCAGAACAGGAAGGTACTCATTTATTCTCCATGGTTCTCAAAATTTAATGTTCATCTTTCATGTTCATTGGAATCATCTGGAAAGCTATTTAAAACAGTTTTCTAAGACTCATGTCCAGAAATTTTGATCCAGTAGTCTAAAGGGGGTCCATGAATTTGCATTTCTAACAAGCATGTGAGTGGCACCAGTGCTGTGGGACCAGGAACCACATTTTGAGGACAACTGCCCTAGAGAATGAAAAGAGCTCAGGCCCATTTCTATGACCCATCAAATTATGACTGTGTGAGTAATCATTGCCAAAGAGTGAAAGCCCAGGGAGCAAATCTCCTCTGCATCAGCCAGAGGCAGTGTGAATTAACAAAACAGCATGTGATTTAAATACTCCATCATCCATCAACTGTGTATGGAGGGCCTTGTCTCTGCTAGGCACAGTGCCAGGCACGGAGACACAATGCTGAGTAAAACCATGACACAATCCATTTCAACAGGTCGACTCAAGC